AATTCATGGGTACGATCCTTAACAAATGGAAACGCAAGTCTATCCCCCACAAAGTATCCATATAGAGTTCTTTCAAAGGGTGTGCTTCCATTAGCCAAAATATCCGAAGGAATGATTAAAAAATCATCATCCGAAGTTTCAATCTCATTAATAAAGTCAAGTTTTAAAGAAGGGATAGGGGGAGCCTCGGCACTATTAAAATCATTAACGGCAGTGGGCTTGGTGGTAGTGGAGGGTGCATCAACAAGAGGTGGGCCGTTGAAAGGAGGGCAGCCCTTAACGATATCAGCAAATGAGAGTGCTTGCTGGACAATGTTTGGGCTGTTAGGCCCAAAAAAAGATGGAGGAGTGTTAAAATCGTTCACTGGGACAGAAAGTGGGGGAAGGGTTTCAAAATCGTGGCCCACACAAGGATTTTTGGAAGAGATGTGAAGGGGAGTAGCTGGCACGCGTATAGATGGGAGGTGGGAGGGTGGACAGGCGCATTAAAGTCTTTGTCTCCCACTAAGGGATTGCAATTAATGGGCATGGGGCATCCCACACATGCAGCCGACTGATATTCTTCCCCCATTCCTACATTTGTGAGGCTTACGTCAATATCTATTGGATGAGGGTCCTTTTGACTTTCTGGATAAGAGAAAAGTCCCATATTCACGCTGGGAGATAATGACGCTGAATCCTTTCCAACGTATCCAGAGGAATCTTTTCCAAACTTGGTTCGTGTCTCCATCAGCGGCGTTGACTTACTATCTCCGACGCATAGAGGCACAGGTTGACCATCTTCGATGCTGAGAGGAGGTGTAACCGGAGGGGTCGCCGACGTCAAAGGTTGAAACGACCAGGGAACATCGGAAATAGAGCCAGATGGAGGATTTGGAGTCGACACGACGGGAGAGAGGATTCCCGCAGAAGGAAACTCGCGAACAAGATCCCTAACATCGGAATCTGAACAGTCCTCTAGCGCTCCATCAATTTTAGCAGAAGTTTCATACAGTTCATCATTCGCATGGCGTTCCACTCCTGATTCGTAGGCTGCAATAGACGAACCATGAGAAATATTCTCAGAAACCCCCTCCACCACTCCATCTCTTTTTGCGAACTCCATAACAGGTTTAACGTGGGAGCCCTTAGGGGTATCAATATTTGGGTCAGCCATCGTGCATGGAGGGAGGGACATCGATGGGTGTCTTGGCTAGTCGCTACTATGGCTGGAGAGGTCGAAGAGGACAACACGTCCCCACTATCGGAATCCGAGAGAGCCTCTAACCTTTTATCTTTTAAATCGAGAACTCCACTAGCAACTTCAGATGTATCGTAACCTTCAATGGGTGCATCAAAGGAGTTCCCTAGACAGTTATTAGGATCTGGCACTTCATCATTCTCGTGAAAAGTGGCTGGTTCCTTGCCCAAATTTTTTCCTTCAACAACGATATTAGCAGCAGAAGAAGAAGCTTTGACCACCATAAGAGGTGGTGAATCAGAGAAGAATAAAGTTCTGTTGCTGTGATTGCTAACACAAGTGGAGGATGAACTAACCTTATTCCCCTGATCGTGATGATCATCGTGATTATGAGCACTGTTTTCAAGGTTTCCAGGACTATCTTCAAAATGGAAAGATCTAAGAATATCATCCTCTTTATCATGATATTTTGATTTTTTTGAAGATCTATGAACCCTATGAATCTTTCCCATAATAATCACAACAAAATACAACCAAATAACCAACAGATTATAAGAAATTAAGCACTAAAACCCTAAAGAAGAACAAGAACACTTAATCTCCAAAGGAATTTCCTAGAGAGAAAAATTCTAGAGAGAGAAAGTAATCCATGGGTGGGTTTGGGTTTGGGTTTAGGGTTTAGGGTTTAGGGTTTAGGGGTTAGGGTTTAGGGTTTAGGATTTAGGATTTAGGGTTTAGGGTTTAGGGTTTAGGGTTTTTTTTTTTTTTGGAAAAAGGGGAATCCCCTTGGCAAATTATATTAAGAATAGGAAGAGATACAAAAGAAAAGGGCAAACGCCCAGGAAAAAGAAAAAAAGACTAGCCTAGCTAAGGGACATGCCCCGAAGCATGGGCGAAACAAACAAGAACTATAGACTAACTAAATAAAGACCTAAAATCGTCATCCCTGATCGATTGGAGAAGAGATACAACCACCATGAGAAGAGCTCGGCATTGCGTCAGAAGTTGGGTGTGAAGTACTCGAATGAAGAACAGGAGGGACACGAGAATCGTCATCAATATCATCCACTCTTTGATGGGAAAGAGCATCAAACATGTTAGTGGAAACTTTTTCCTTTGGCTCTACACGGGAAACTGGTTTGTATACTTGAGAGATCTTTATAGCAGGGCCCTTTCCTTTACGGTTGTTGATGGGGACCTTCTTTTTTGAAGTTGGAAACGTTCTAGATTTCCTCTTGATTATTTGATATCCTTCGTTATCAACGGCTTTTGGGGAGGGCATGGTCGACTTGGGGTTGGGGGTGCTAATCAAGTGAGTGGGGCATGTGGCATGGTCATGGCCAAAACATTTGCAATGATCACAACTTTTTGGGTTCCAAGAATACTCCACTCTAAGTGTTGTAGATGTAACACCTTTAACCGTGACCGCTTTGATTTTTATTTCCTTAGCCCAAGGATCTTTAGCCGACATCTCGATGAGGATACGGGCAAAAACCGCTCTACTCGTAGCCCGCTCACACATAGTTGTAGTATAAGAATCAACCTCCAAAGGCCTTCCAAGTTTACTTGCAATGAGACTAAGACCATCTTTATTAAAAAGTTGGAGGGGGATGCCAAATATATTAACCCAAACGGGGACCCGATCATGAGTTGGTTTTTCAATGAAAACGTCCGGGTCCCATTTGCGGAGGAAAATAGGAATACCATTAATCTTCCACATGCCCTTTTGAAGAACATAGTTTAAACCGACATCATTATCAAATTTGAAGAAAAATACATCGTCATCATTGATGAAGATGTCACAAAGCCCATGTTCTTTCCATAAATCTTGAGTACGCTCCTTAACTAGAGGGAAGGCAAGTCTTTGTCCCACAAAATATCCATATAAGGTTCGTTCGTAAGGAGAACTACCCTTAATCATAATCTCCGAAGGGATAAGCAAAACATCATCATCAAAAGAATCAAGGTTATTAATAAAATCTAATTTTAAAGGATTAACGGAATGGACCTTGTCATCAAAATTGGAACTTGGATCAACAACCTTTGCAGCGTGGCTAGGCGGAAGTGTAGAAAAAAATTCTAGCTCTGAAGTGGGTTGTGTAGGCGCTGGATTAGATGCATTAATAATTTTAGAGTACCCAATAAAATATCTGCATAAGAGAGTGAAGGTTGCACATGTTTTGGGCTATTAGGCCCAAACGATAAGGGAGAAGGGCTACACACATCCAATGGCGGCTGAGATGTAAGAGAAATTGTATCATGTTGAAGATTAGCCACGCGCCTAGGAGGAGAATGGGGCAAGATTGAAGGAGCATTAAATAGGGAAATTAAAGCTTTATCCCCACCCATAAATGCATCATTTATGCGCATGGGGGGATCGTGTAAGGTAGCCGACGGAGACCCCACTTCCAATTCATTTTTTTGAGAAGATTCCAACAGGTGTGGACCCAAGTCAGCCTCATTTTGACTTTCTGTGAGAGGGTTGCAATAAATGCCCAATCTTTTTTATTATTATTTTCGGGGGTAGCAGCATTCAATGCTTGATCGCAGGAATGTTGACTTTCCATATCCAAGATTAATCCCTTAACCAAGCATGAAGAGTCCGACACATGCTCCACAACATTTTTTGCAGGTGAATCTTTTCCAGAAAGAGCAAGCCCCATCGACGAGGGTTGACCATCTGAAAAAATCTCGATCAATTTACCAGGAGCCGATCTAGCTTGCGCCGACACTGCCATGGCCGGATAGTGAATCAAGGGTCCTTGACCGGAAGCAACCACCTGGACCGAACGATAGGTGGGAGGAACCGATGAGGGAATATGGGATCCAAAGGGTGGATCTGGGGACGCAACAACCGGAGAAAGAATTCCGTTAGAAGGGATTTCATGAACCAAGTCCTCAGCATCAACATCAGAATCTGAACAATCCTCAATCACTCCATATTTTTTGGCGAGATCTTCAAATGCTTCATCATTAGAATGACGTTCATCTCCTGATTCGAGAGTTTCATAGGGAGCAGTTGAAAATTTTCCAGATTCATTACCATGGTCTTCAACGTTAGCATGGGGTTCAGCAGCTACAAAATCATTTCCCATCACATAATTTTTTCCAGTTTCGTGAGAAGAGGAATCCTCAGGTTCATCAGGTTCTTGAGCAATAGGCTTTGATGAAGCATCATCACCAAGGTTCTTAGATTTAAAAGTAACTTCGCAAGAATCAGAGAAAAAGAATGCTTTGTTGCTATGATTACTTACACATGGAGCAAAAGAAGAAACGGACCCCATGCCAGATTCATAATCTCCAAGAACATTATTTTCTTTCCTAGGGCTATCTTCAAAATGAAAAGAGTCAAGAACACCATTACCTTTGTGATACGAATTTGATTTTTTCTTTGATTGTCTTCTAACTCTGTGAATCTTTCCCATGACTAAAATCAACAAATAACCAACAGATTAAAAGATCTTAAAGCATAAAAACCCAGAAAATTGACAAGAACACTTAATCTCCAAGAGAGCTTCCTAGAGAGAAAAATTCTAGAGAGAGAAAGTGCTCCATTGGGGTTTTTTTGGGTTCAGGGTTTGGGTTTAGGGTTTAGGGTTTAGGGTTAGGGTTTAGGGTTTAGGGTTTAAGGTTTAGGGTTTATTTTTTGGAAAAGGGGGAATCCCCTTGGCAAAATATATTAAGAATAGGAAGAATTACAAAAAAAAAGGGCAAAAGCCCAAGAAAAAGAAAAAAAGACAAGCCAAGCTAAGGGATATGCCCCAAAACAAAGGCAAAGCAAACTATAAACTATAGACTAACTAAAAATTAACTAAAATCGTCATCCCTGATCAATTGGAGAAGAAATACAACCACCATGAGAATAACTCGGTAGAGCGTCATAAACTGGGTGAGAAGCACTCGAATGAATAACAGGAGGGACACGAGAATCATCATCAATATCATATACTCTTTGATGGGAAAGAGCATCAAACATGTTAGTGGATACTTTTTTCTTTGGCTTTGTACGAGTTACTGGTTTATAGACTTGAGAGATCTTTAGAGTAGGGCCATTTCCTTTACGGTTGTAGATGGGGATCTTCTTTTTTGGAATTGGAAGTGTTCTAGGTCTCCTCTTGACCGTTTGAAATCCTTCATTATCAACTTCTTTTTGGGTGGACGTAGCCGGCTTTGGGTCGGGGGTACTAATTGTGTGCATGGGGCACGTGACATGGTCATGACCAAAAATATTGCAATGATCACATCTCTTTGGGTTCCAAGAGTACTCCACTCTAAGGGTTGTAGATGTAGTGCCTTTGGCCGTGAACGCTTTGATTTTTATTTCTTTAGCCCAAGGAGTTTTGGCCGACATCTCTATGAGAATACGAGCATAGACCGCTCTACCCGTAGCCCGCTCACACATGGTGGTGGTATAAGAGTCAACCTCCAAAGGCTTACCAAGTTTACTAGCAATGAGACTAAGACCATCTTGGTTAAAAAGTTGGAGTGGAATGCCAAAAATATTAACCCAAACGGGAACCCGATCATGGCTTGGTTTCTCAATAAATACGTCCGGGTCCCATTTTCGGAGGAAAAGCGGGATGCCATTGAGCTTCCAAATACTCTTTTAAAGAACGTAATTCATACCCACATCGTTGTCAAATTTGAAGAAGAAAACATCGTCGTCATTTATAAAAATATCACAAAGCCCGTGTTCCTTCCATAATTCATGGGTACGATCCTTAACAAATGGAAACACAAGTCTATCCCCCACAAAGTATCCATATAGAGTTCTTTCAAAGGGTGTGCTTCCATTAGCCAAAATATCCGAAGGAATGATTAAAAAATCATCATCCGAAGTTTCAATCTCATTAATAAAGTCAAGTTTTAAAGAAGGGATAGGGGGAGCCTCGGCACTATTAAAATCATTAACGGCAGTGGGCTTGGTGGTAGTGGAGGGTGCATCAACAAGAGGTGGGTCGTTGAAAGGAGGGCAGCCCTTAACGATATCAGCAAATGAGAGTGCTTGCTGGACAATGTTTGGGCTGTTAGGCCCAAAAAAAGATGGAGGAGTGTTAAAATCGTTCACTGGGACAGAAAGTGGGGGAAGGGTTTCAAAATCGTGGCCCACACAAGGATTTTTGGAAGAGATGTGAAGGGGAGTAGCTGGCACGCGTATAGATAGGAGGTGGGAGGGGTGGACAGGCGCATTAAAGTCTTTGTCTCCCACTAAGGGATTGCAATTAATGGGCATGGGGCATCCCACACATGCAGCCGACTGATATTCTTCCCCCATTCCTACATTTGTGAGGCTTACGTCAATATCTATTGGATGAGGGTCCTTTTGACTTTCTGGATAAGAGAAAAGTCCCATATTCACGCTGGGAGATAATGACGCTGAATCCTTTCCAACGTATCCAGAGGAATCTTTTCCAAACTTGGTTCGTGTCTCCATCAGCGGCGTTGACTTACTATCTCCGACGCATAGAGGCACAGGTTGACCATCTTCGATGCTGAGAGGAGGTGTAACCGGAGGGGTCGCCGACGTCAAAGGTTGAAACGACCAGGGAACATCGGAAATAGAGCCAGATGGAGGATTTGGAGTCGACACGACGGGAGAGAGGATTCCCGCAGAAGGAAACTCGCGAACAAGATCCCTAACATCGGAATCTGAACAGTCCTCTAGCGCTCCATCAATTTTAGCAGAAGTTTCATACAGTTCATCATTCGCATGGCGTTCCACTCCTGATTCGTAGGCTGCAATAGACGAACCATGAGAAATATTCTCAGAAACCCCCTCCACCACTCCATCTCTTTTTGCGAACTCCATAACAGGTTTAACGTGGGAGCCCTTAGGGGTATCAATATTTGGGTCAGCCATCGTGCATGGAGGGGAGGGACATCGATGGGTGTCTTGGCTAGTCGCTACTATGGCTGGAGAGGTCGAAGAGGACAACACGTCCCCACTATCAGAATCCGAGAGAGCCTTTAACCTTTTATCTTTTAAATCGAGAACTCCACTAGCAACTTCAGATGTATCGTAACCTTCAATGGGTGCATCAAAGGAGTTCCCTAGACAGTTATTAGGATCTGGCACTTCATCATTCTCGTGAAAAGTGGTTGGTTCCTTGCCCAAAATTTTTCATTCAACAACGATATTAGTAGCAGAAGAAGAAGCTTCGACCACCATAAGAGGTGGTGAATCAGAGAAGAATAAAGTTCTGTTGCTGTGATTGCTAACACAAGTGGAGGATGAACTAACCTTATTCCCCTGATCGTGATGATCATCATGATTATGAGCTCTGTTTGCAAGGTTTCCAGGACTATCTTCAAAATGGAAAGATCTAAGAATATCATCCTCTTTATCATGATATTTTGATTTTTTTGAAGATCTACGAACCCTATGAATCTTTCCCATAATAATCACAACAAAATACAACCAAATAACCAACAGATTATAAGAAATTAAGCATTAAAACCCTAGACAAGAACAAGAACACTTAATCTCCAAAGGAATTTCCTAGAGAGAAAAATTCTAGAGAGAGAAAGTAATCCATGGGTGGGTTTAGGGTTTAGGGTTTAGGGTTTAGGGTTTAGGGTTTCGGGTTTAGGGTTTAGGGTTTAGGGTTTAGTGTTTAGGGTTTCGGGTTTAGGGTTTCGGGTTTTGGGTTTAGGGTTTAGGGTTTAGGGTTTAGGGTTTCGGGTTTCGGGTTTAGGGTTTGGGGTTTAGGGTTTAGGGTTTAGGTTTTCGGGTTTCGGGTTTAGGGTTTCGGGTTTAGGGTTTAGGGTTTTAGGGTTTAGGGTTTAGGGTTTAGGGTTTAGGGTTTAGGGTTTTAGGGTTTAGGGTTTTAGGGTTTTAGGGTTTAGGGTTTAGGGTTTTAGGGTTTAGGGTTTAGGGTTTAGGGTTTAGGGTTTTTTTTTTTTTTTTTTTTTTTTTTTTTTTGATAAAAGGGGAAGACCCCTTGGCAAATTTTATTGAAAAGAAAAAACAAAACAAGGGAAGAGGGCAACCGCCCAAAAAACCTAACAACTAACCTAACAACAAGACAACAAACTAAAAAACTACACTAAAAGAACACAAGCATCAAACCCTATCTAAACAAAGCCAACCGATCCACTTCCATGTCCAACTCCAACACAAGGAGTGAAACCAAATATAACTTATAAAGAAAAACACAATAAACTCAAAATTAACAACCATCCAATTAACGAAATCTTCAAGGTCATCAATCTTCATATAGCTTCCAATCTTCCTCCAAGTCAAACCCCAAAAAATGGCCTCATACTCAATCAAATAGTCCACGGTTTGAATAATATTAGTCTTCCAAAGCTTCCAAGGAACATCCAACTCAAGAAAATCATTGGCCAAATCATTCAAAACTACAATAGTTTGCAAATATCTCCACACGAAACTAAAACCGAGAATAGCAATTAACTTTGAACTTTGAACAATATTCTTCATGCAATTCTTCCCAATCTTCTCCACAAGATAATTGATGACCTTCTTTCCAATCTTCACTTTAGAATCCAATAAGCTCCAAAAGAGATTCTTCAAAGCCCGAGAAAGTATGATGCTAAAACCATTATTTTCCAACAAATCCCAACATTTCCAAATCTTCTTCCAATTGTCTTCACCTTCTTTGTTGCCCAAACTAATCCAATTACTCTTCAATAATTCTTCCAAAATAATAATCCAAGAATTCCGAAACTGCCCTTGGATAAAATCCCAACCTCTAGCAAATAAATATCTCATAAGCACAATTAAACCACAATCCTCAAGGTTACAAAAAACTACATTGCCAACTTTCTTCTTAAGAATCAACCCAAAAGCTTGAAACCCGTCAATTCCTTTTTTAATGAGAGTATTCCAAAAATACCCCTGAAGGTAAATCCTTAAAAAATTAAGAATAAACCCTCCAAATTCCACATCAAAGGCAAAAAAAACCAATGATAATCGGGATGGACCGATTGGCTTTAAAATTTTGGTAAAACCAAAGGGATTGCAAGGTCCCAAAGTGGTTGTTTTTATGAAAACAAGGGAAACAACCAACCCAATTGTGGTACAGTCTAAGGTTAACGTACCCAATCCAGTGTATTGCCGGGTAAATATCCCACCACTTGCTAATCGAACTAGTAGTGGCACCCACTAAAGTGGAGATTCCTAGTTGCATAGGAAGAAATTTCCAACTAACGGGGATCAAACCCATTTGCTTTAAAAAATTGACCACTTCAAAGGAAAAGATTCCAATGAAATCTGGGATAAACCAGACAGCAATAAGCAAAAACGGATCCATAAAGCTCCAAATGTGGTTGTTTTTATGATAACAAAGGAAACAACCAACCTGTAAGTGGTACAGTCTAAGGTTAACGTACCCAATCCCGTGTATTGCCGGGTGAATATCCCACCACTTGCTAATCGAACTAGCAGTGGCACCCACATAAGTGGAGAATCCTAGTTGCCTAGGATAAAAGTACCAACTAATGGGGATCAAACCCAAATGCAATAAGGAATAATCCACTTCAAAGGATAAAAATCCAATGAAATCCGGGATACACCGGATAGCAATAGCCTTACACTTATGCCAAAAAATCATAAAATGGTTGTTTTTATGGTTACAAGGGAAACAACCAACCCATTTGTGGTACAATTTAAGGAGAACGTACCCAATCCCTGGTATTAACGGGTAATTATCCCACCACTTGCTAATCAAACTAGAAGTGGCACCCACCAAAGTGGAGACTCCAAGTTGCCAAGGAGAAAAATAACTTATAATGGGGATAAGACCCATTTGCAAAAAGAAAACCACTTCAAAAGGAAAAATCCTTAAGAAAATCGGGATAAAACCGATAAGCAAACCAATTTTTAAAGGAAAATTGTTAAACCCATACCCGTCAATTCCTTTAATCATCATTAAAATCTTGATTTTTCTCTTCAATCGGAACACCCCACTTCCTTTTAACAATATTATCAAATCCCGAAAAACCACCTTTAAGACCAATAAGCTTTAAACGGATTTCTTCAAAAATGTTCAAGGCAATTTTCCTTTCTTCAGAATTTCCATTTCTAAACAGCCTGCAATTTCTCTCTCTCCAAATAAAATAAACTGTCGCAGCAAGGGCAATCTTAGAGATGAAATCTTGAATGCTTTTCCCTTTCAACAGAACTTGAAACTCTTTAATTAATGTTTCCCATCCTTGAGAATTACTAATAATTCCCACTTTATCTTTCACCATATTCCAAACAAGAGAAGAATACGAGCATTCAAAGAAGAGATGATTATGCGAATCAGGTTGCAAATTACAAAAAACACACTTGAGATTCTTGTTTTTATCCCAAAATCTCATTCTATCCTGGGTCATCAATCTTTCCTGGATAGCAAGCCATAAAATGAAGCTGAGTCTAGGAATACACTGTTTAAACCAAACCAAATGGGCCCATGGGACCTTCTGCCCGCAAAAATTTAGATCCCTCCAGACTTGCTGAATATCAAATTCCACTACTTGACCATCCCTTTTCCTCCATAAAGTTCTGTCAGCCACCAAAGGATTAAGAATCGGCAGTTGATGATCTCTCAATTGAGGAATAATAGCAATCCATTCTTGCGGCCAGGACCAAGAGTTATTGACAATAACATCCTTAACTTTGTCAGTGATTTTGAATCCAACATTAGTGATATCTCTAGGCGACAGAACATGCGAAAAAGCACCCAACTGGTGCCAATCATCATACCACATAAAAGAATTAGCCCCATTTCCAATCTTGGTAAAAAAATGATCTCTAAATTTGGTTCTCAATCTGATCAAATTCCTCCAGCTCCAACTTAGGTCCTGTTTTTCCTTGATATCCCAAAAACTTCTACCCTTGAGAACATGAATATTTATCCATTTAACCCACAAAGAGTCAACATTAGATAAAATCATCCATATTCTTTTAGATAGAATAGCTTTGTTCCAAACTCTAAGATTTCTGAGACCCAACCCCCCATTCTCAACAGGTTTACAGATAGAGGACCATGATATTTTAGCTCTTCCCTTCTTGGATTCATCATAATCCCACAAAAAATTCTTCATCAGTTTCTCAATTTCCTTTGTAATAGAAGCCGGAATAAGCAAGCAAGAAGCCCAATACACAGGAAGGGAGAATAAAACCGAATATATGAGCTGAAGTCTTCCCGCATAAGAAAGATATTTGTTTCTCCAATCACCAATTCTACATCGGACTTTATCAACAAGTCTTTTGCAGTCTCGAATAAATAATCTAGTAGATATTAGGGGAATGCCCAAATATCTCACTGGAAGTTTCCCTTCAACAAATGGAAGGGTGTCCAGAATTTTCCCTTTCACATCAGCCTTGACGTTCCCAAAAAAAATATGGCTTTTAGAAAAATTAAGGTGTAGACCTGCAACTTTAGCAAATTCATCAAGGCTGTCTTTTATAACCCTGACCGAGGCTTTATTACCATGACAGAAGATCATTAGATCATCCGCAAAACACAAGTGTGTGATTTTAAGAGGCTTGCACTTCCAATGATATTTGAACAAAGGCTCATTCCTTATTCTTCTTTGAAAAATCAAGTTGAAACTTTCCATTACCAAAGTAAATAGATACGGGGATAAAGGGCATCCCTGACGAAGACCTCTTTTTCCATCAAAAAACCCATGAAAGGATCCATTCATACTAATCATGTATGAAGGAGAGCTCACACACTGCATGATCCATTTTATCATTGTCGGATGAAATCCAAAGTGGAAAAGGATATTTTGAAGAAACGACCAATTAACCGTGTCGTACGCTTTCTGGATATCAACTTTAAGAGCACATCTAGAGTAACCACAATTCCTGTGATAACCCCTAACCAATTCTTCGGAAAGAAGAATATTGTCTGTGATGGATCTACCCGGAATAAAAGCAGATTGGTTATCCGCAACAATAGAACCCAAATGGTTTCTTATTCTTCCCACAATGATTTTACTGATGCATTTGTAAATAACAGAGCAACATGAAATTGGTCTAAAGTCACTAAATTTCCCTGGAGAATTAACTTTAGGGACTAAAGCAATGACCGTAGAATTTATACTTGAGCATTTTACCATTAGCAAAAAATTCCTTGACAGCAGCACAGAAATCCTTTCCAATAATAGACCACATGGATTTGAAAAACTTAGCCGAATACCCATCCGGTCCAGGGGCTTTATCATCATCGATGTCAAAGAGAGCTGCTTTAATTTCATCATTTGAAACAATCTTGACCATATCCACAGCATCAACAAGGTCCAGCTTATTGGTAAAAAGGGAATCAGGAAGATAGATCTCGTCACAAGCCACCTCTTTTCCAAGAAAATCCTGAAAATATTCAACAAATTCTTTATAAATAGCCTCCCCTTCCAGCCACTCTCCATGACCATTCATAATGGCTTCAATTCTGTTTTTGTGCATTTTCCCTTTAACAATTCTATGAAAAAATTTAGAATTTCTATCACCCTCCTTTAACCACTGGATTTTAGCTTTTTGTTTTAGAAATTTCTCCTCCTTATCATAAGCTAATTTAAATTTGCCAAGAAAAATAGCCTCCAGCTCTCGAAGATGATGATTGAAAGGATCCGAATCCAAATCCACTTGAACCGCTTCCAGCTCTTTTCGAAAGTGATTAACATTTTCCGAAAGATTTCCCTGCATCTTTAAGAGTTTGCGAATTGGTTTCTTGAGGCTTTTAAGCTTTTGCGTTAAAATAAACATTTTAACACCATTAATGTCAATATTCCAGTGCTTTTCAACAATCAATTTCAACTCAGGGCATAGGGTGAGGACATTGGGAAATTTAAAAGGAAGGACCCTAAACTTAGCTCTTGAAGGAATTTTAATGATGACCGGGCTATGATCAGAAATCCCATAAGGAAGAAAAGAAGCACAGATAGATGGGAACTGATCCAGAAGTTTGCAGTTGCCCATGACACGATCAAGTTTCTTCAGAATTCCATTTAATCCTTTCGGTTTTTGATTCCAAGTAAAATTCAATCCATTACAATTAATATCTTGAATTTCAAGAGTATTAATGCATTCATGAAATTCCACCATCCCTTTAGTGAATGTGGAGGACCCAGCAGAACATTCACTAGGATTGAGAGTAACATTAAAATCACCCCCAATAATCCAAGGATCATCATTGACAAGACCTTTATGGTGCACAAGGGAAGACCACAAATCTCTTCTATCGACATACTTATTGGCAGCATAAACAATGGTGCAGAAAACAAATTTGTTGTTTGAAGGAAACCAAACTTTGCAGTGAATAGCTTGATCACAGTGATTAATCAGGTTGACATCAAAGAAGAGAGGATTCCATCCCAAAATAATGCGGTAGGTACTCCCTAAATTACCCTTGACAGCAGTCCACTTCCAATTCCCAAAGATATTATCACACTTTTCATTAAGTTTATTAGAACTAACTTGAGATTCAAGAATAGCTAATAAACTCAAATTATTCTCCTTAATAAATTTTTTTATTTCTTTTTGCTTAGGAGCCTGATTAAGACCCCTAATATTCCAAATACCAAATTTAAGCGACATTGGAAAAGCCTTCCATGATGGTATCATCCGAAGGGATACCTCCTATAACTTCCATTTGATCAACATTATCCAAGTAATCAAGATCAAAATCTTGCATACATTTCCTTGAATAATCCAATTGGTTGTCATCTTCCAAACCATTTAAAATCTCAAATTTGTTGCTAGATAAAATAATAGCAGGATCATGAAATTTCTCAACTTTTGGAATTTTATCAAAGTTAGAGCTTATCTTAATATCAACTTTGGACTTTGGAACATACTTCAGCCAATTTTCAATGTTTCTCCTGATAACAGGAGACAAATTCGGATCTTTGAGAGAAGTTGAAACATGCGAAATCCCCTGATCATTATTCCCACCAGCATTATTCACTGAAATAAAATTCCTGCTCGAATCATTAGTACTCTTACTATTCTGCCCCTGTTAAAATTAAGACCAAATGATCTTCCATTCACATATTGATTCTTCCCATTTTGCCCCTAAATTCCTTTACCCTTGTTCCACTGATTACCGCCAAAATTATTACCATTTTTTTCCAAATTATTTCCTTTTTGCCCCTGGTTTCCGACAAAATTTTTTCCTCCACCATTCCCTTTTTGCCCCTGATTTCCAGCCATATTTCTAACCGGATTCCTTCCATTTCCTTGATTTTTCCCAAACTGCCCTTGAGACAAATTCTGATTTTTCCCAAAATGCCCTTGGGGCTGATTCTGATTTTTAATCCCATATCCTTCCTTGTTCTTTTCTCCAGAATTTATTCCTTTGTTTCTTTTAACCACCGTTTGAAATCCATCTTTATCTTCTTCAACTTTTTTTGTGCTCGCAATAAGAACTTCCATTAAATCAACTTTAGTCCCATCCTTATTTTGATTTTCAGATTCAGAATTTGCTATATCTTTGACCTCCTTAGCTAATAAGATGCCACAAGTATTGTCTTTATGCCCATAAACCTTGCAATGAGAGCATTTGGAAGGGTTCCACGCATATTCAACTTTACATTTTGAAAGAATTCTTTCTCCTGTAGTGAGATCCGAAGAGTAAACTTGAACTTCCTTTAACCATTCCTTGGCAGCAGACATTTCAATCAGGATTCTCATAAAGGCCGGTCTTCCCCAATGTTCTTGACACATTTTTGCTGTATGAGCATCAACATCCAGTGGTTTTCCTATTTCCCAAGCAATATGACTCGGCCCTGTTCCATTCCAATATTCAAGAGGAACATTGTATATTTTTACCCAAACTGGAACTTTATCATGTTGATCTTTAGCCGAGCTCACACCAGTGGTCCATCTTCTAACAACAAGGGCGCTATCAAAGATCATCCAAACTCCTCCCTCTAATACAGAAATCATGCCTTGTTCAGTGCTAAATCTGAAAAAATAAATTCCTTCATCGTTCACCATAACTTCCTCCAATCCATGTTTTTTCCATGTGTTAGGGTTTAGGGTTTAGGGTTTAGGGTTTAGGGTTTAGGGTTTAGGGTTTAGGGTTTAGGGTTTTAGGGTTTAGGGTTTAGGGTTTAGGGTTTAGGGTTTAGGGTTTAGGGTTTAGGGTTGAGGGTTTAGGGTTGAGGGTTTAGGGTTTAGGGTTTAGGGTTTAGGGTTTAGGGTTTAGGGTTTTTTTTTTGGGAAAGAGGCCGAAGCCCCGGCAAAAATTTTATAAATTCGAAAAAAAGAAACAAGAGTTATGTCATTTTTGGACAAACCCCAAAAATGACCAAAATCCAAACATCTCTAAGATACCAAAACCAAATGCTAACCCTAGCAACAATATAAACAAAGAAAGTACAAATTATTCTATTCCAACTCCACAACCCGGAGTGGTCATCAAATTTCCGCTCGCACTCGAAATGAACACCCCATCTCTTCTTCCACTCTTCAAAAATGCCATCTCTATACATGCTCCTCATCCAAGTGTCAAGAATATCGCTAGTCCTATGAACACCAATATCCCAAGAATTCCAAATAAAAATGCACATAGTTTCTTCCTTCCCATTGCCAAAGGACTCCATAATAGCAATCTTCTTTCTCCTCTCCACCCTTGTATCTTTATTATCTTTTATGTACCTCAAAAGTATGTTGCTATAAAAAGCCAAAATATCATCTTCTCTATTATCTCTATTCACAATCTTCCAATTCTTGCTCTCTTTAACCGACCTTCTTTGATTATATCGCTTTTCCATCATTCCATTCCAATTGTCATCATCACCCATCATCATCCACAATCTTTTAACATAAATCCATCTCTAGAATTTTTATGGATAAAATCATAAAACCCACCCACTAAATTACTTGGAAATGAACCAAGATTTTTGAACTTTTTACGGAAAAAGTTAGAAAACCAAACTATAATTTCCGGATTTGAACCGGATAAATTCATCCTTTTTTGGAAAAAAGGGGCCAACCACATGACTAAACTACTTGGAATTGAACCAAGATTTAATTTCTTTTTATGGAAAAAGAAGAAAAACCAACCAACTAAATAGTCCGGATTTGAACCGGTAAAAAACATCCATTTTTGGAAAAACGGGGCAAACCACATGACTATACTACTTGGACTTGAACCAAGATTTAGATTCTTTTTATGGAAAAAGAGGGAAAACCATCCAATTAAAGTTTCCGGATTTGAACCGGATAAAAAGTGACATTTTGTTACCCAAAAAATGCCAAAAAAATGGTGGTACAGTCTAAGGATGACGTACCCAAGCCTGGTTATTGACGGGTGAATATCCCACCACTTACTGATCGAACCAGTAGTGGCACCCACAATTGTGGAGAATCCTAAATTAATAGGATAAAAAACACAACTTATGGGGATAAAACCCATATGCAAATTTTTAAAAACCACTTCACAAGAAAAAATTCTTATGAAACTCGGGATCAAACCGAGATGCAAATCATTTTTAAGGGAAAAAATGAATAACCACCCATTTCCGTCAAAACCTTTGCAATACACACCTTGTTTCCACGGCGGGATTTCACAATAGATGGATATAAATTCCAAATATTGATGAAAAGTGACCACATCATAAGGTATACACCAAATGATACTCGGGATTAAACCGAGTTGCAATCCAATTTTAAGGGAAAAATTGGTAAAAGTCCCGTTACCGTCAATTCCTTTGTAAAGATATTGGAAATGGACTCCTTTATAAACAATAAAATTCATCCATGCCCAATAATTCCGATATTGCCCTTTCACAGCCAAACGCCAAAGAAGTAACAAACAAGGATTAATTTTGGTACTCATCTCATAAGTGTGACCATATTGCCCTTGTCCATTTGTACATAGATGAAAAGAAAAAAGACTCCCAGCTATATTATTCCAACTATTTTGCAACACCATCCAACTTCCATTATGATCCTTCCAACACAAAACCACTTCAAACTTAGAAAAATACCCAAATTGCCCTTTCTTGTTATTCATCTTAATTTCATTCATAATCCACTGCACATCAAACCACCCTCTTCCTTCTTTAACTTTCATTTGCCTTTCAAAACACCCACCCATTTGATTCCCAATCACTATGCCCTTCTTCCAATTTTCGATTATAACCAAGCAATGCACAAATTGATCAAACTTTTTAAATTTTCCCCAAAGTTGACCAAAATACCCTTTGACCCAGATTCTAAGATTTTCGTTTTTATTAAAATCCTGCCTTTTATTCTTTCTCCCACACTTATTTCTAAAAAGAATAAAAAACCAGCAGAGCTTAGAATTACCAAAGTACCCCTCCACCCAAAAACCACGTTCGCTATCTTTTAACAAAATCCCAGCTTGCCCCTGTTTCTTGTTTTTTCCTTCTCTGTGATACCATTCCCTAAACCGCATGCTCTTATCCCTTCTCATAAAATTGAACTTATCATTCATGACAAAGATTACAGCAATCACTCCTTCATTAATCCGAATTCCAAACAGCCCCTGTTCAAGAATTAAGAGCCTGCGATTTTTATTTTCTAATTCCGCCTCCTTCCAATTCTCAGCATCAGAATCACAGCCGAGGCATTTAACAATCAAGACGATCATTAATAAGTCTTTCCTTTTATTAAATTTCCAGATTTGACCAAAATACCCTTTGACAGATTTACTAGAATTCCCGCTTTTATTTATATTCTTCCTCATTTTCACCATTCGGTCTCCATAATAACTCTCTTCCCATCGATTCAACCCCAGCCAACCTAACATCTCCATATACAACCCAATTCTCCTGTTATTATCAACTTCCATGGATATAATTATTACTTTTAACAGGAACATTCCATTCCTTGCACGTTTCTTCATTGAGCCCAAGATAACCCATTTTAAGGCTAAAAATCTTCAATCTAATATCTTCTGTGATAATCTTGACGACATTTTCCACTGAACTGTTCATTCTCCCAAACACTCTTTTATTTCTTTCATTCCAAATGTGATAAACAGAAGCCGCCAAGGCAATTTTTTTGATGAAATCATTGATGTTTTTCTTTTTTAAGGAACATTGAAGTTCACGGATGATATCAAACCAGCTGTCAGATGTATGATTAATTTTCACCTTATTTTTCATCAAACTCCACACTTCTTTTGTATAATTACATTCAAAAAATAGATGAGAATGAGAATCCAATTGAGAATTGCAAAAAACACAGCTAAACCCATTAGAATCTTTCCATTTCTTCATTCTGTCCTGCGTTCTAAGTCTTCCCAGAATAGCAAGCCAAAGTATAAAACAATGACTTGGGATTCTGTTTTGGAACCAAACCAGGTGGTACCAATTGACAATTGACTCATGGTATATAAGAGAAGAAGAAACCTGATTTATTGCAAATGGAACAATTGTACCTTTATGATTCCTCCAATGAACCTCATCCTTTTTCTCTGCAATAAGTCTTGGCATAAGAAAATCACCTAACTGAGGGATCATTTCAAGCCATTCAGCAGGCCAACTCCAATTCCCTTCACCAATAACATCACTAACTGTATCCCTTATGTTATATCCAGCATTAGTAATTTCCCTATGCGAAAGAACATAACCCAAAGGACCCAATTGGTGCCAGTTATCAAACCACATGTTTGTATCCTTTCCATTTCCAAGCTGACTAACAAAAAAATCCCGAACACATGGTCGAATTTTCATTAAGTTTCTCCAACTCCAGCTCACTTTGTCTTTTAAACTCACTTCCCAGAAGCTTCTCCCTTCGAGAAGATAGAACTTAACCCATTTGACCCATAAAGAGTTCTGCCCACTTATGATATTCCAAATTCTGCTGGAAAGAAGGCCTATGTTCCAATCTCTAAGATTTTTTAACCCAAGACCGCCATAAACCTTAGGTTTGCAAATCTCAATCCAAGACACCTTAGCAACTCCCTTTCCATTTTGACCACTATTCCAAAGGAAATTCCTCATAATTTTTTCAATTTCCTTAGTGGTGCCCTTTGGTAATAACACAGCTGAAGCCCAATACACAGGGAGAGACGAAAGCACAGCACTAATTAATTGGAGTCTACCCGCGTAAGATAGAGACTTATTCTTCCAGTCATTGACTTTATGCTTCACTTTATCAACAAGACCCTTGCAGTCTCTAATAAATAACTTAGTAGACACCAAAGGAATACCAAGATACTTCATGGGCAATTTCCCTTCAACAAACGGGAGGATCCTCAAAATTTTCCTTTTAAACGGCCCCTTAACATTCCCAAAAAATATGTGGCTTTTAGCAAGGTTTGGCACAAGACCCGCAGCATTTGCAAATTCATCCAAAGCTTTTTTAATGATTTTAATGGAATACGAATCACCATGACAAAAAACCATCAAATCGTCAGCAAAACACAGATGTGTAATCTTCTGTTTTTCACATCTCCAATGATACTTGAAACCATTATTGTCCCGAATACACCTTTTGAGCATGAGGTTGAAAACTTCCATAACAAGAGTAAAAAGATATGGAGATAACGGACAGCCCTGACGCAGGCCTCTCTTGCCTTGAAAAAACCCATGAAATCTTCCATTTATGTTAATCATGAACGAAGAAGTAGTAACACAGTTCATGATCCACTTAATCATAGAGCTGTGAAAACCAAATTCTTTCAAAATATGCTGCAAAAACTTCCAATTAACCGTATCATAAGCTTTTTGAATGTCTATCTTTAAGGCACAACGAGCATAACCCCGATCAATATGATATCCTCTAACCAGCTCTTGAGATAACAGGACATTATCCAAGATAGTTCGCCCTGGAATAAAAGCTGATTGATTATCCGAAACCAAACAACCAAGATGATCTCGAATCCGATTAACAATAATTTTGCTGATGCATTTGTAAACAACGTTACAACATGAAATCGGCCTGTAATCCCTTACTTTACCAGGAGTTGGAACTTTAGGAACTAAGGCAATAACAGTTGTATTGATCTCCTTCAATATTTTCTTAGACAAGAAAAATTCCTTAACAGCAAAACAGAAATCATCCCCCACAATCCTCCAAGCTTTTTTAAAGAATTTTGAAGAATACCCATCTGGCCCCGGCGCTTTGTCATCATCTATATCAAATAAAGCTCTTTTAATCTCTTCATTTGTGACTTCATTAACCATGTCGAGAGCTTGATTGTTGTCAAGACGATTAGTAAAGAGATTATTTGGACACACAAGGGAAATAACCTCATGATTAACACCAAGAAACTCTCTAAAATAATCAACAATTACTCTAGAAGCCTCCTCCCCTTCTTTCCAATTGCCATTACTATCAAGAATATTTTCAATTCTATTCCTATTTATTTTCCCCTTAACAACTTTATGAAAATAATTAGAATTAGAATCTCCTTCTTTTAGCCACTGAACTTTAGCTCTTTGCTTTAGATAACATTCTTCTTCTCTACTAGCATTTAGAAAAGATTGAAGATAAAAACTCTCTTCAATTCTTAAGTCTTCATTACCCGGATCTCTATCAAGCTCAAATTGAATCCTACTCAAATCATCTCTGCATTTGGAAACTTTTTCAGCATACTTTCCATGCAAATTTAACAGCTTTCGGAGAGGCTTCTTCAAAAATTTAAGCTTTTGACAGAGACGAAACATGCCAAAACCCTCAACTTCAGTTTTCCAAACATTAGCTACTAACGGAAGAAACTCATCCAGCAGTGTGAGGGAATTAACAAACTTGAAAGGCCGAACTCTGAACTTCTTTTTAACAGGAAATTTAATGATCATAGGTCTGGATAATCCTCAATAAATTTGAAATTTCCCAGCACACGATCCAGTTTTTTCAGAACTCCATTTAGCCCATTCGGTCTTTGATTCCAAGTATAATGCAATCCACTTCTGTTAATATCTTGAACTTCAATGTGGTTCATACAATCATTGAATTCAACCATTCCTTTCGAGATTCTAGAATTTCCAGCCGAAGAATCAATAAGCTCTTTAGTAACATTGAAATCCCCAAGAATCAACCACGGAGAATTATTAACAGAATAGAAATGCTTAACCAGCGAATCCCATAAAATCCTTCTATCCATGTAGTAATTGCAAGCATAGATGAAAGAACAAAAGATCTTTTTATTATCTTTTATAAAAAGAATCTGACAATGCATAACCTGACTATTAACGTCCAACGGCATGACAACTAATTCATCCGGGTCCCACCCAATAATAATACGAGTGCCTTTAGGGCTCACATCTTGATTTGAAATCCACATCCAGTTCCCAAAAACATTATTACACGTTGTTTGCAACTTATTAAATCTCAGCTGAGACTCAAGAATAGCAAACAAAGACAAATTATTGCTTCTAATCACATTCTTTATTTCCTCCTGTTTAGGCCTTAAATTCGAACCCCTCACATTCCAGCACCCTATATTCATCATCATTGATCAACATTTGAATTTTCGGTGTTCATCTCCTGGCCACCTCCAGTTAAAATCATCTCCTGATCAATTTCATCTAAGTAAGACATATCCCTTAATCCCAAATCAGCAAGCACATCAAAGGGGTTTTGTGATAATATCTCATCTTGATTATCTTTTCCTGAAGTAGAACCTGATTTGTCAAATTTATAACTAACTTTTAAATCCACCTGCTTTTTAGGAACATACACCTTTTTTTGATTTTCTTCTTTTTTCCCCTGCATTCCATCTTTTTTAGCATTAAAATTTTCAATAACATTTTTAACTCTTATCCCCATTTTTTCTTTTGGGATAAACACCCCTGTACCATTCACTTTCCCATTTTTATCCTCTTTTGACTGAAATACCCCTTTCTCCTTCCCATCTTTTTTGAGATTGCCCACTGCAAATTTCGAATAATTTCCCCCATTATTTCTACCTTCAGCCCCTTTTCTGTTTTGTTCTTCTTTCTTATCGTCTTTTTGCTTTTCTTTTCCTTCAATTTGTTTGTTATTATTTTTCCTTTGCTCACCCTCCTCTATAGACTTTCCTTCATTGCTGCCACCTTTATCTCCTTCACTAACAGGTTTCGAGTTTTTCTCCAAGGACTTAATTAAATCCACTTTCCCTTCTTCATTAATAATCACACCTTTATTGTTGAACTTCTGCCCTTTGTTGCTTTTCTTTGTGACTAAAATGAACCCATCATCATCAACTTTATCTTTTTTCCCATCCTCTTCTCTGTTTACAGCAACATCAACACCATTATCATTTTTTTCCCCATTAAGAATTCCACAATTGCTATCTTTATGCCCATATATTTTGCAGTGATTACAAACATCGGGTCTCCACGCATACTCTACCCTACACTTTGATTCAACTTTTTCTCCTGTCCCAAAATCAATTGAGACCACACTTAACTCTTTCATCCAATCTGCTTCTGCTGACATTTCCACAAGAAATCTCATGAATGCTGGTCTTCCCCAATGTTCATTACACATTTTTTGAGTTATTTTATCCATGGCAATTGGTTTCCCAATCTCATTAGCAATCAAAGTAATTCCTTTGCTGTTCCAATATTCCAATGGAACATTAAACACTTTAACCCAAACAGGAACTGAGTTGATTTGTGGTTTACTCAAAACAAGACCTGGCCTCCATCTTTGTACAAACATCGGCACATTGTTAATCAGCCATGGACCTCCCTCCAGCACATTCATCATTCCTTCCTTAGAATCAAATTTAAAGAAAAAGAATCCTTCATCATTAACCATTACATCTTTCAGCCCAAATATCTTCCACATCTTAAAAGAAAAATGATTAACAGTTGGAAACGCAAGTTTTTTCCCCACAAAAAACCCATACAATGTAGCATGATAAGGAGCTCCACCCAGCATTAAATCAGCATAAGGCAACTCTACTTTCCCTTTAGGCTTTCCATCCTCTTTTGGAATTACTTTGATGTTAAGATCCACAGCAATATTTGTTGGTTCAACCATACGAGCATAAGATTTTTTATTATAATCACTTACTAACTTAGCTGCAGGGGATGCAACAGGTTTGGTAAAATCCATGCTCAAGAAGTTCGTTCCCTGTTCCTTCTTCATATCATTACCAGTATCAGCTTCCAAATTTCCATTCTCATTCAGTGATTCTTTCATATCTTCATCAATACAATTAATAGGACTACTAATTGGATTAATAAGATTATCTTCAGAGACTAATTTGGTACCTGAAATAACAGGTGCAGCTTGCGATAATGGGGACTTTCCCAAAATACCCTTGACATCTTTATTAGCAACTGTCGATCCCAACGCTGGAGAAGACAAATTATTTTCCATAATCTGCGAAGAATTGGAATCCTTGGAAGCATTCGGCTCATCAATCACCATGCCCTTGTGCATTTTCATTCCAATTAACGATCCAATGTTCGACCCAGTACCAGTTATAGCGTTCTTTTCCATGTTCACTTGAATTACAGGGGATGAAGAAGACAACCCAACCACCGTGTTCTTAGAAGAATTGAATCCCTTAACCATATCTGAAGTTACTTGGAGCAACACGAATCCTTTTTCTTCTTCAATTTTTTTCTACTCGGCAATCACCTTATCAAACGCATCCAATTCAGCTTTAATAAATTGAGGATCGATATTTTCTTTTCCATAATTTGATTTGATTACATCATGTATTCCAGCTCGAAGAACAGCTTTAGACCCATCAGCTATTGGTTTCGAGCTCAAATACATCTTCTCCTCCCTTAACCGATTAGCTTTAGCTTCCATTTTTTCTTTCGATCTTAATGGTTTAATCGCTGAGTAAGGAGAGAATTCCTTGTGCACAGCTCTTCTTCCTCTTCGTTTAGCTCCAATGTCATCTTCCATATCATCTTCGTATAAATTTTTGTTAGCTGGATCAGGTGGATCTTTGTAATTCATTCCAAACATATTACCAATTTTCCCGAACATCCGATCACCAATCGTATAAACAATTGGAATTGATTTTAGAGTAAATTCAATCAATGAAGATGAAATTCCGGCACCGGCAAGAGATCCGATCACCAGAATCCCAACCAAGCCACTCACCAAAACTGGAAAACCGAGAGAGACAATCCTAGAGAGAGAAAGTTAGAGAGAGAAAATTTTTAGCAAATGACTTGGGTTTAGGGTTTAGGGTTTAGGGTTTAGGGTTTAGGGTTTAGGGTTTAGGGTTTAGGGTTTAGGGTTTAGGGTTTAGGGTTTAGGGTTTAGGGTTTAGGGTTTAGGGTTTAGGGTTTAGGGTTTAGGGTTTAGGGTTTAGGGTTTAGGGTTTAGGGTTTAGGGTTTAGGGTTTAGGGTTTAGGGTTTAGGGTTTAGGGTTTAGGGTTTAGGGTTTAGGGTTTAGGGTTTAGGGTTTAGGGTTTAGGGTTTAGGGTTTAGGGTTTAGGGTTTAGGGTTTAGGGTTTAGGGTTTAGGGTTTAGGGTTTAGGGTTTAGGGTTTAGGGTTTAGGGTTTAGGGTTTAGGGTTTAGGGTTTAGGGTTTAGGGTTTAGGGTTTAGGGTTTAGGGTTTAGGGTTTAGGGTTTTAGGGTTTAGGGTTTAGGGTTTAGGGTTTAGGGTTTAGGGTTTAGGGTTTAGGGTTTAGGGTTTAGGGTTTAGGGTTTAGGGTTTAGGGTTTAGGGTTTAGGGTTTAGGGTTTAGGGTTTAGGGTTTAGGGTTTAGGGTTTAGGGTTTAGGGTTTAGGGTTTAGGGTTTAGGGTTTAGGGTTTAGGGTTTAGGGTTTAGGGTTTAGGGTTTAGGGTTTAGGGTTTAGGGTTTAGGGTTTAGGGTTTAGGGTTTAGGGTTTAGGGTTTAGGGTTTAGGGTTTAGGGTTTAGGGTTTAGGGTTTAGGGTTTAGGGTTTAGGGTTTAGGGTTTAGGGTTTAGGGTTTAGGGTTTAGGGTTTAGGGTTTAGGGTTTAGGGTTTAGGGTTTAGGGTTTAGGGTTTAGGGTTTAGGGTTTAGGGTTTAGGGTTTAGGGTTTAGGGTTTAGGGTTTAGGGTTTAGGGTTTAGGGTTTAGGGTTTAGGGTTTAGGGTTTAGGGTTTAGGGTTTAGGGTTTAGGGTTTAGGGTTTAGGGTTTAGGGTTTAGGGTTTAGGGTTTAGGGTTTAGGGTTTAGGGTTTAGGGTTTAGGGTTTAGGGTTTAGGGTTTAGGGTTTAGGGTTTAGGGTTTAGGGTTTAGGGTTTAGGGTTTAGGGTTTAGGGTTTAGGGTTTAGGGTTTAGGGTTTAGGGTTTAGGGTTTAGGGTTTAGGGTTTAGGGTTTAGGGTTTAGGGTTTAGGGTTTAGGGTTTAGGGTTTAGGGTTTAGGGTTTAGGGTTTAGGGTTTAGGGTTTAGGGTTTAGGGTTTAGGGTTTAGGGTTTAGGGTTTAGGGTTTAGGGTTTAGGGTTTAGGGTTTAGGGTTTAGGGTTTAGGGTTTAGGGTTTAGGGTTTAGGGTTTAGGGTTTAGGGTTTAGGGTTTAGGGTTTAGGGTTTAGGGTTTAGGGTTTAGGGTTTAGGGTTTAGGGTTTAGGGTTTAGGGTTTAGGGTTTAGGGTTTAGGGTTTAGGGTTTAGGGTTTAGGGTTTAGGGTTTAGGGTTTAGGGTTTAGGGTTTAGGGTTTAGGGTTTAGGGTTTAGGGTTTAGGGTTTAGGGTTTAGGGTTTAGGGTTTAGGGTTTAGGGTTTAGGGTTTAGGGTTTAGGGTTTAGGGTTTAGGGTTTAGGGTTTAGGGTTTAGGGTTTAGGGTTTAGGGTTTAGGGTTTAGGGTTTAGGGTTTAGGGTTTAGGGTTTAGGGTTTAGGGTTTAGGGTTTAGGGTTTAGGGTTTAGGGTTTAGGGTTTAGGGTTTAGGGTTTAGGGTTTAGGGTTTAGGGTTTAGGGTTTAGGGTTTAGGGTTTAGGGTTTAGGGTTTAGGGTTTAGGGTTTAGGGTTTAGGGTTTAGGGTTTAGGGTTTAGGGTTTAGGGTTTAGGGTTTAGGGTTTAGGGTTTAGGGTTTAGGGTTTAGGGTTTAGGGTTTAGGGTTTAGGGTTTAGGGTTTAGGGTTTAGGGTTTAGGGTTTAGGGTTTAGGGTTTAGGGTTTAGGGTTTAGGGTTTAGGGTTTAGGGTTTAGGGTTTAGGGTTTAGGGTTTAGGGTTTAGGGTTTAGGGTTTAGGGTTTAGGGTTTAGGGTTTAGGGTTTAGGGTTTAGGGTTTAGGGTTTAGGGTTTAGGGTTTAGGGTTTAGGGTTTAGGGTTTAGGGTTTAGGGTTTAGGGTTTAGGGTTTAGGGTTTAGGGTTTAGGGTTTAGGGTTTAGGGTTTAGGGTTTAGGGTTTAGGGTTTAGGGTTTAGGGTTTAGGGTTTAGGGTTTAGGGTTTAGGGTTTAGGGTTTAGGGTTTAGGGTTTAGGGTTTAGGGTTTAGGGTTTAGGGTTTAGGGTTTAGGGTTTAGGGTTTAGGGTTTAGGGTTTAGGGTTTAGGGTTTAGGGTTTAGGGTTTAGGGTTT